GGGCCACGCGCGGAAGGGGTCCACGTATAAACCATGCCTTAATCTGCCGATGGCGTGCCAAATATGCCCGGGCAAAAAATACGTCTGGAAGTACAACATGGCTGCCCACATCAAGTCAGTACACAGCGAGGTCGATGGTGGCGGTAGTCCCAAATTTCGATCGGAGATAGCTATTTCCGACGCAGAGCGCAGAAAAGTCTTAGACCTCATTGGTGTCACACCAACATCATCATCGTCGGGGAGTAATAAGAGGGCAACCACGTGCGACACCAGGACACAGAGGGAGGTTCGCCAGCGACAGTCGGGCGTTGGTGCCAGCAGCGGCGGCAGTAGCCTAGCAACAGGAACGATGGGCGAAACTCGGGTGTAGGGGGTTTGTTTGCACTTTCCAAGCCATCACATGTCGTGGTGNCATCATCGGGGAGTAATAAGAGGGCAACCACGTGCGACACCAGGACACAGAGGGAGGTTCGCCAGCGACAGTCGGGCGTTGGTGCCAGCAGCGGCGGCAGTAGCCTAGCAACAGGAACGATGGGCGAAACTCGGGTGTAGGGGGTTCGGTTTGCACTTTCCAAGCCATCACATGTGGTGTTGTTTTCGTGTCGTTGTTAAAAATACAGTACATATAGTCTATTATGCATACATACATAACTCTCTCCGATAGGACTTGAGGCTTATTGGCGGGAAGGCTGTATCGACTTCGCGCACTGCTGTTCTTCCACATTGACCGTAAGCCTGACATCAACTTCTTCTTCTGCTGCACAATCGAATCCAGGTGTGTGAGTGTGCTGGTTGGACACAAAGTGTCTCTCGTCGAGTACCACACCAATAAGATCCACCACTACTGCTCAACACGAAGATGTGTACTACTCACTGATGCTGCTGCTGCCCTTCCTTGCTGAAGGATACTCTACAACATGGTCAACACGAAGATGTGTACTACTCACTGATGCTGCTGCTGCCCTTGCTGAAGGATACTCTACAACATGGCTACGACACACCGGAGAAACACAGGGAAGTCTCGTGCTGCTGCTTGATGGGGCAGCCAATGATTG